GTACAAAAGTCTAGGACTTTTTGATCTGTGGCTTAAGACCATCTAGAAAAAAATAGGTATTAATTTTAGTTTTCAATCCATCATGAAAAAAAGTATTTGATTATGTTTTAAAGAGCTAGATGTAATTTTAGACTCTATTCCTTGATTTGTAATATTTAGAATGAAAGTAATGCAGCTGGCTGGGTCCAAGGATGCAGAGGGGATTCCCACAGGACCAGCCAAGAGGGTCCTTGGCTTCACGCAGGATGGAAATCAAACGTGAGCCCTGAGATGTGAGAACAGAATTTATTGAAGATGCATGGAGAGAGCAGATACAGACAGTCTGGGAGACTCAGAAAGAAACAGGGAGAGTGTCTCATCTTTGCTTGGCATTTGGGGTTTAGATTGAAGACAGTGGTCTGGTGTATGCATCCCCTCAGACATTTCAGGAATTGGTCAAAACAAGAATGAATTCTTAGACATCTTCCGTAAGTCACTGAGGCTCTGGAGTCAGTGGTCTTGGAAAACATTCATGATGACCTCGTTTGGGCACTCCTTGGATATTATCTGTTCTGCTGGAAGACTCTGAAGAAATCATTAACTTCTTGACTGTTACAAGGAGGACATACATTAAGGCATGTGTAAGAATAGATCTAGACAGGGAAACTGAAGGGACTGCATGAAAAAACTGCTTTTGTTATTCCTTTTCCTTCTTCTTTTCTTGATAGGACCTATACCCTCACCTTACACATGCCTTAATGTATGTTCTCCTTATAAAGGAGAAAAGATCTCTTTTTGCTTCAGATGTGACCAGCCTGGAGTATGACTTTAAGTTCTGAGGGCTACACTTTGAAGAGGAAATAGAAAAAGATTTTTAGAAAAAGGTAATTTTGGGGGGCACCTGGGTGGCTCAGTGGGTTAAGCCTCTGCCTTCAGCTTGGGTCATGACCTCAGGGTCCTGGAATCGAGTCCCACATCAGGCTTTCTGCTCAGCTGGAAGACTGCTTCCCCCTTTCTCTCTGCCTGCCTCTCTGCCTACTTGTGATCTCTGTCTGTCAAATAAATAAAATTTTTAAAAAATCTTTTAAAAAGGTAATTTTTGGAAAATTGGCAAATAATTGTAAAACCCGTAGTGCATAAACACAATATAGAGTCAGAATGAAGATTCACAAAGAAAGGTTCAAGATATTTTTATATGGTATTATGTCATGGAGAAAAACAAGTTACTTGGGATTAGAAATTTGAGAAAGAAATTCTGTAGTAATATGTTATTGGTAAAGGATGCAAGTAAAAAAAAAAGTAACATAGGATGTTGTATATTGAGAGTGCGTTAGCCACTTAATTTGTGTGCCCAGAGCATAGCTAGATACTTAAGAAACAAAATTTGAGTGATGTAGATCTCTACCCCCAAAGGTCTACTCTGTTAGACTTGATTTGGGATAAAAGAAAAAAGACTTGATTTGGACACTTGATCAGCTTTTACAGGATGAAAATTTGCTTAATGTGACACTGATATCTTATCTTTAAATTTACTTTAAGTACATAATATGTTCCCAAGGAATAATCTTAAGCACTAAGAAAATCTTGTTTAGGGACACTTGGGTGGCTCAGTTGGTTAAGCGTCTGCCTTCAGCTCAGGTCATGATCCCAGGGTTCTGGGATCAAGTCCCACATCGGACTCCTTGCTCAGTGGGAGCCTGCTTCTCCCTTTACCTCTGCTGCTCCCCCTTCTTGTGTTCTATCTCTCTCTCTCTCTCTCAAATAAATAAAACCTTTAAAAAAATAAAATATGTTTTAATATCTTAATTTTGGGGACACCTGTGTGGTTCTGCCTGTTAAGTGTCTGACTTCAGCTCAGGTCATAATTCTGGGGTCCTGGCTTCAAGTTCTGCATTGGGCTTCTTGCTTGGCAAGGAGCCTGCTTTTCCCTCTGCCTGCCTCTGTCCCTGCTTGTGCTCTCTCTCTGATAAATAAATAAATCTTAATTTTGTTTTAAAAGCAATATCCTTTTGTTGCAGGTCATCAAGCACAATGACCAAGAAATTCTTGAGACACAATATGGTGTAACTTAGTAATTTATTTAAGTAGTATGGGACAGGACCCATGGGCAGAAAGAGTTGTACTTTTTGCTGTATGAAGCTGGTGGATAAATGCTTAGTGCTCAAGGGGGAGGGGACATGCAGGGAGTATTAAATCATAAACGTTTCTTTGAATTTCTACTCATAACACGACTTTTGTAAGATTTCTCTTGTGCTTATCATTCAGATTAGTATTAACTAACAGTGAGATATACAGGCAGTAATGAGACCCTTTAAGGATGTATTTGATCCTTATTAATACTATGCAGGCTAGTGGTCAGTCTTCTGGGTTAAATGTGAACATTTTTCTGCTTCTATCCCTCGTCACTTTTGTGGTATGTGTCAGATTTACTATTTTCTCATTTGGCTGCAAGGTCTCTGGTAGGAGCTTACGCATTATGGCTAGAAATCTCTTGAATTTATAATTTAAGGCTACGCTCGGTTGGGAGAGATTTATAATAATGTCTTGGCAATAAAACCCAAGCAGAAATCAAAACTGTTTTTGTATTGAATCCACTTAAAGTTGTACTTGTACCTGAGTAAAGCTCGAAAATGTCTGAATTAGGTGAAACTACGGCAAATGGCATAAAATGGCAAAATGGAATATTAGGTTCGCTAAAGAGAAGTTTTACTGATCGTGGATTTAGTGTTCACCTAGTTATCTTATACAAAAGGAAAGACTCTTGAGATATCCTCATCTTTGGGATATCTAAATATCCCAAATATCTCCTGAATATTGCTTTCCTACAAATCCCAGTTATGCCTACAGATAGGGAGGCAGGTGACAGAACAAATCCCACTAGGTGAGAGCTAGTCCCTTATTCTTGACAGAAATTAAATCCTTTGAAAATAATCATCAGTGGCAGGTTAGACAGAGAAATGGGAAGAGAGGGGAAGCCAGAAGTCTGAGAGGTGTGTGTAGGGGTAAGAATTTTTGTCAAGATTTTCCATTCGATTATCAGTATGAGTTTTTCCTTTTCCCCACTTACTAATCCACACCCACACATACTGTCCTAGACAGAGCTCGGAAATTCTAAACCCAGTATAACTGGAAACTTGATTGCAGGTCTTAAAATCAGGGGCCTTCCAAAAGTTGAGTGCGTCTCTCCAGATGTATTTCAGGGGCTGCTAATGGAAAAGTGAAAAGTACAACTTTGCACCCCAAAGCTGTTAGCTTAGCAGGCAGCATTAAATGAAAATGAGGAAATGCAAATCCTAATCTCTGGCACTGAAGTAGATAATTAATTCTGATTCTGAAATTTGGTGAATAAATTTAATTTTATATTATATATAAATAAAATAAATTTAATTTGGGTTGTTTCACATCCTAATGAGCATTCTGCATGATGGCTATACTTACGGCTCTACCTAACACTTCAACGGGGCTGACATGTTTTCTGCTTTGATTTTATCCAAGACTTGGCGTCAATGATTTTCTTGGTTCCTTGACTCAGAAAGACAAATTAGTCTAGGACATTTACTACTTAAATTGCCTTATGTTGCTGCTTGCCCTGCTTCCCTGGAAGAGATAAGTGTTTGGGTTTGTATTGTTCCCAGGGAGGTGACTGGTTCTTAGTGGCATAATGAATTTACCAATCCCACTTTCAGTCTTAAAGCCAGACTGCTAAAACAGCCTGCCTCCCCACCCCTCATTTTAATCAGCAATTTAAGAAACTATTATAACAGTGTTCAAACATATACCCAAGTTAAGAGAATTGTGTAATTAGCTCCCTAGTATCCAGCTTCAGCTTCAATAATTATCAACACTTCTAGGCAGTTTTCTGACCAGAAAATACATTAACCTGGTAAGTCTGGGTGACTCAGTCAGTTAAGCGTCTGCCTTCCGCTCAGGTCATGATCCTGGGGTCCTAGAATCCATTCCCACATGGGGCTTCTTACCCAGCGGGGAACCTGCTTCTGCCTGCCACTCCCCCTGCTTGTGTCCTCCCTCTCTCTCCTTCTTTCTCACAAATAAATGGGTAAAATCTTAAAAAGAAACAAAGAGAAAGAAAAGAACATCGCAGTGAAAGCTTCAATTCTTGATCAGTTTTCAGCTTTTGTCTTTCAAATTTTGGTTCCTGGGGCTTTGGACCCTGCAATTGTATTAAAAGAAGTTTAAGAAATTTAGTACTTAATAGTCGTTTGAGGGCACTCTCTTTTTTCAGTTCTCCTCCTCTTCAGGAAAATCGCCTTCTCCCTCAGGGAGATCCTCTGGTTGTAGGGTGCAAGGCGAAATTTGGAGATATTTCTTATAGCTCAGAGATGTTTTTCATATCAATATCCCGATATCCCTTCAGGAGACCGGCCTAAAAAGGAAGTTGGAGAACGTATGGACAGCTAGTCAGTTCCTACCCTGCCTCAATGCTATTTTCCAAATATCTACAGAGAGTAAATTTACAGACTATTTTCCTGGTCACACTCTGGAGAGTATCTCAGTGACTTTCTTCCCACTCCACTTCTCACGTCCTGCTGGGGATGAGTGTCAATCTGAGTTTCAGGTGATTGTATTGACTGGTTTCTAACCTCTCTCATCCAGAGAGCGTCAAGGGCGGCTGGTGAGGCACTCCGCCCCAGGGCCTCCTGGGGAAAGAGAAACCGCTGACCCACAAAAAGCCAAACTGTAAGCCTTGCGCTCGCCCACCTGGGTGCCTCGAAAAGCCAGAGTCCCAGGGAAGCTTGAGGAGGCATCTATTTCCCAATTTGCCCCTCGCTGGTCGCCTCTATTGAAAATTTGGCTCCTGATATAAAAGAAGGTGCGGGAGAGGCTTTAACCCGCCGCGGAGAGTCTGGGAATCCAGCATGCGATGCCCCTCAGCCCTTAGTTTGGGGGCTCCTGTTTCCTTAAGCTTCGAAGGCGTGGTCATTCGTGGCTCGGATCCCGCCTCTCTCCGCCTCCGCCCCGCGGTTTTTCTGGCAGTTCCGCTCTCTTCGCCCGCACCGTAGGGGTTCTGGGGGGTCCGGGAGCCCGGGACTAGCCCCGGACGGGAAGTTCCGCTGTCACACCGTGGCGAGAGAAGCCCAGCCCAGCTCAGCCCCAGTTACGCGCGGTCTTTAGGCGGCGGCTGTTCAGGTTATGCCGAGGCCAGCCTTAGGGCGTTGTCCTTCCGTTCGTGGGAAGATGGGTTAGCTTCTCCGAGCGTCTTCCGTGCCCCGCCCGGCGCCGGCCGCCAGGACTTCGGAGAGATCCCTGCTAGCAGCGAGTGGAGACGGCGCCTCCCTAGCCCGAGCCGTTTACTCGTCTCTGCACCCCTAGGCGGCGCTGCGCTCCTCTGCACCCGCCAGCTCCGCTTTCCCAGATGGCTGCCGCACCTCCAGTCCGGCGAGCGGAGCTTCCAGCCGGCCAGCCCCGGGCAACTCCAGTGCGTCCAGGCGGCCGAACGTCGGCGGTCTGGGCACCTCTAGCCCGCGGCGGCGGGCAGCCGGCCCTTGCTCTTTCCTGCGGTTCGTGCTCTCCGGGAGTCCGGAGCATGGTCCTGGGTCGCTGCTGGTGGAGCGAGGACGCCGAGAGGGAGGATGGTGGCCTGGAGGGTGGCGGTTCTGTGTCTGTGGGTCTCCTGCGGCTCTGCCGCCGGACAGCTGGAATATTCAGTGCTGGAGGAGACCGTGCGGGGCGTAGCCGTAGGCGATGTTTCCGCGGACTTGGGGCTGTCGGCGGCCGCCCTGTCCTTGAGGAACTTTCGCTTCCTTTACAGCCACCGAGAGTCCTACTTCGGGGTGGATCCGGCCAGCGGTAGTTTGGTGGTCCTAGAGCCGGCGGACCGCGAACTGCTGTGTGAGACCAAAGCTGTCTGCGTCTTGACCTATGAGCTGGTGCTCGAGGACCCGCTGGAGCTCCACACGATGCGAGTTCACGTCGTGGACACCAACGATAACTCACCTCTCTTCCCTGCCGGCGACGTGCAGCTGCACATCCCCGAGTTCCTGATGCCCGGAGCCCGCTTTACTCTCCCCAATGCTCAAGATGCTGACGAGGGAAGCAACGGGGTCCTAAGCTACAGTCTGAGCCCCAGCCAGCACTTTCGCCTGCTCATGGGATCGCGGGTGAACGGCAGTGAATACCCGGAGTTGGTATTAGAGAAAGCGCTGGATCGGGAGCAGCGCGCCACCCACCAGCTGGTGCTCACCGCCAGGGACGGCGGGCAGCCGGCGCGCTCCGGAGACGCACACGTTACCGTCCTAGTGGTGGACACAAACGACAACGCGCCTGTACTTGAGCGCACAGTCTACCGCGCCAAGGTACCAGAGACTGCCCCCAACGGGACTGTGTTATTACGAATTCAGGCCTCGGACCCGGATGAAGGCTCCAATGGGGAAATCCGGTACTCCTTAAGCAACAGCACGCGAGCAGCGCTGAGACACCACTTCCACGTGCACCCTAGAAATGGGGAGGTGCGCGTAGCTGCTTCTCTAGGTCCGCCTGAAACGTTGTTGGAGGCGTACATTGAGGCGAGGGATGAGGGCACCTTCGGTTTAGCTAGTACTGTCAAACTGCTGGTGGAAGTGACTGATGTGAACGATCACGCCCCTGAGGTCAATTTCCTGACTCTCTCCAGTTCCATTTCTGAGGACGCTCCCCCTGGCACAGTGATTGCTCTCCTTCGTCTCAGGGATGAGGATCTCGGTCCCAATGGTAAGGTCATCTGTAGCATGTCCAGCGGAGGCCCTTTCAAGCTAAAGGCTTCCTTTGACAACTACTATAGCTTGCTGACTGATGGGCCGCTGGACCGGGAGCAGGTCAGGGAATACCAGCTCCAGATCACTGCCTCAGATGGTGGCTCACCCCCCTTGAGCACCCGCAGGAAACTGACTGTGTTTGTTGCTGATGTGAATGACAATTCACCAAGCTTTGCTCAACCACAACAGGAACTTTTTGTGGCTGAAAACAATGGTCCTGGGACGTCTCTAGGCCGTGTGTTTGCCCAGGATCCCGACCTGGGGAAGAATGGCCTTGTCTTCTATGAGTTGTTGGATATTATCTCTGAAAGGCAGACAGTCTCTAGCTTGGTGGCAGTAGAATCACCCAGCGGGGCTCTCACTGCCAAAATTTCCTTTGACTTTGAGCAGCTCAGGGGGTTTCACTTCCAAGTGGAAGCCCGGGATGGTGGTATTCCTCCCAGAAGTGCAACAGTGATCATGAACTTGTTTGTGATAGATAGGAACGACAGTGCTCCAGTCATCTTGTTTCCTGTGCCCAGGAATGGCTCTGTTCCAGTAGAAATTGTGCCCCGCTCTACCAGGAGTGGACACTTAGTCACAAAAGTGGTAGCGGAGGATGCAGACAGTGGCTCTAATGCTTGGCTTTCCTACCATATTTCTCAGGCTTCTGACTCCAGGCTTTTCAGAATTTCAGCCAGTATGGGAGAACTCCGAACTGCCCGCTTAATTCTTCCCACTGATGCCGTTAAGCAGAGGGTAGTGGTTGAGGTTCGGGACCATGGAGACCCACCACTTTCCTCTTTCGTCACATTGGGTATATTCTTGAGCAACTCTGCTCCTTGGGTCCTTCCAGACTTTGAAGATACCTGGGAAACAGGAGGCCACCTTTCTACCCAGAACCTGTATTTAGTGATTGCTCTGGCCTGTATTTCCTTTTTATTTCTGGGGTGCTTACTTTTCTTTGTGTGTATCAAGGTGAACCAGAGCCCAGTTTCTTGTTCTCAAAGCTGCTGTGGCTCTCCAGAGGAACTGAGGTATGGGAGGAAGATGGCTTCAAATCCTCTGACATCAGCCACAATAGATGTCACTAAAGTTGAGAGACTTTCTCAGACCTATCTCTATCGGGCCCCTCTAGGACCTGGTTCTGATAATAACAGATTGCTGTTGCGTGGGGAATACAGTGCTGCTGACCTGAGAAATCTGGCTACTGGGGTAGGACTGAATTTGCCAATCTCCTGCATTCACATTCGGAATAGGAAGGTGGATCACTTAAATATCAATGCCATGGTAAGCAAATTTGGAGGGATTTGATTCCATTGGCCAGGAGGTGACTGCTTGCTATGGTCTGAAATGCTTCTTAGGTGAGCCTTTGGCAACACTTAATCCATTGAATTGAACACTCCTGCTTAGCACCCCCTGTGCTAAGAATTCTGGGAGTATATGAGTAATAAAAGACTGTCCTTGATCTCAGGGAACTTACAGTTTATTTTTGAGAAAAAAGGGTAAGAAATTCAAACCCATTAAAGAACAATAAAAGTAACATAATGTAAAGGTCTAAAATTAGAAAGAAGGCACCAGTTTTGGGTACAGGTAATAAATGACCTGGAAAGTCTTCAATTCCTTTTGGGAATTGGTTTAAGGAATTATTTAAAGCATAAATCCGTCATTCAAAAAAATATTTTGAGCAACAGATATGTGTAAGGCATTCTGATACCAAAAGTGGGAATGAAAAATATGCAATACTCTGCATAACATAAGCATAATATCATGGAAGATGAGATATTTCCTCAAACTATAATAATACACGATTTAACGATGATAACCTAAAAAATGTAAAAATAAATTGCAACGGATGTTCAAAGAAGGGAGAGAGACTGTGAGAGAACATCTGGGAATGGAGGAGGGAATCAGAGAAGGCATGGTGGTAGAGATGGCATTTGAATTAAATCTTGAGTGATACACCATTTAATAAAATGCTACATATTTTCTAGGTCAGACTTTAAATAAATGCCATTTTGGCAAACTAGTCTTTTTTGAGAATGACACTCTAAAACATAGCTAATAGCTCCACACAGTGTTTCTAAGTATATGGAAATTATAAGCATGCCTCAGAACACATATTTGTATTGATAGAATATAAAACTATTGGGTATAGGACTTGACAACCTTTAATTTTGTGTTTTTATTGATATATTTCACAAAAATAAAAGATGAGTTCATTGTTTTTTTTAATTGTAATTCCAGTACAGTTAAAATACAGTGTTATATTCAATTCAGGTATACAATATAAAGATTCAAAATTCCATATATTACTCAGTGCTTGAAAGAGAACTGTTACATCAGAAACAGTTGTGTGTTCAAATTTGCCATTCAAAATCCATTTAACTTAGATTTAATTTTCTTATTATTTTAGAGGGCAGTATACTTTGAAATAAGTAAATACCATATTTGAGAATAGTACATCTAGTGAAAGTTAAATTATTCAAATACTTAAATGTATCCATAGTGGCCCTTTACATTTCAGAAACTTTTTGAATAGTGTGAGGACAATCTTCAGCAATTTTACAGTATGACTTTCTGACTTCTCGTAGAGATCATGGATACAAGGGAAGGAGGTACGCAGAGATTAGGAAAGGGAATGGAAGATTCCTTGTTTTACTATTCCCGGTAATAGGGGAAAAGTGAGTTATAAGTTATTCTTCTCCAAATAATGATGTTAACTGCAAATAGATTAACATGCCTTATAATTTTGCATATTTAATATTCTCACATGACAGAATGCAATGTATGAGATATGATTAGTAAATGCTTGTTGAATGAAAGAATAAATACATTTGCTAGTGTATGAATTGGGTGGTAACATAGAACAGTTCAACATAAGGGCAAAGATTTAGCTCACTTTTCCAATTTACATGTATATATATTTAACATTTTAAAGATCACTTTCAAATATATTATTTTAATGGTTATTTTCTTCCTCATATATAATAGAACAAAATAATGGGATTTTCTGGTCCTAGAGCCGGCTTGAAAAACCTCAGCGCCGTGTTTTGGCACTAAATAGGATTGCAGTTCCTACCGATGACAAAGTGATTAGTAGGAATGCACGTCTTTGCACTGTAAAGGTCACAGTGGATGCAAATTAAAATGCAGTTAATTTTAAGGGAGAATATTGGTGTGCTATCATGTTACTATTTCAGGTATCAAAACACTTAGTGTATAAACTCTCTTCCTATCAAGAAAATTCATAACTTATTTCTTTTATTTCATTGCTTTCTCTAACCAAGAGAGATGAGAATACCAGTAATGTCTGAAGTTTGGGAGTTGGATATTGTTTGAAAAACACATTTTGAGTAGACTTGAAAGGAAATGGGTCTGGAAGTTGGAAAATTCTTTAAAAGGAAAAATGCAGGGATACCTGGGTGGCTCAGTTGGTTAAGTGACCAACTCTTGACCTCAGCTCAGGTCTTGATCTCAGGGTTGTGGGTTCAAGCCCTACCTTGGGCTCCATGTTGGGCATGGAGCCTACTTAAAAAAATAAATAAATAAGGGGCGCCTGGGTGACTCAGTGGGTTAAGCCTCTGCCCTCGGCTCAGGTCATGATCTCAGGGTCCTGGGATCGATGTGGGCATTGGCTTCTCTGCTCAGCAGGGAGCCTGCTTCTCCCTCTCTCTCTCTCTGCCTGCCGCTCGGTCTACTTGTGATCTCTCTTTCTCTCAAATAAATAAATAATATCTTTTTAAAAATATATAAATAAAAGGATAAATATAGCTAATAACACAGAAAAATATCTTCAGCCACCAAATATTTAAACTTAAATGAGTGACAGTAACAAAGACGAACTGTTGATACATGCAGGAATACTGCGCCATTCCAGTCATCCACTTGAGCAGTCTTTTTCTATCAATGTTGATATTTTACTTTTTAGGTAGTCCACTGTCTGCCAATAACTTTGTGGACTGGATATTTCCTTACATATAAAGTGTGATGTATAAGAGCATGAATAAAATAACTTCTAGAGAGCTGGAATATTTGTAATTCACCCAGGCACTTTGTTACTTTCTTCTTCCTCTCCAACTGCGTATTGATCCAATCATGATTCTTTAGAAAAGAATGCTTGTCATAGTGTTCACTGAGTGCCTTAATAATGACTACATAATTGTAGAAAGGAAATATTTATTGCTTGAATTTTATAAAACAAAAATCCTTTGGAAAGAGTGCAATTTCCTAACAATTTTAACTGTGTGCCTGAGTCATACAGAATCATGTTGATGTATATGTGTTTCTATTTTGTTCAAATAGTAAGTCCTTCTTTTTTTTAGTTCAAAATTTTTAATTCCAGTGTAGTTAACATACAGTATTATGTTAGTTTCGGGTGGACAATATAGTGATTCAGCAATTCAGTACATCACCTGGTTTTCATCAGGACAAGTGCACACCTTAATCCCTACCACCTGTTTCACCCCCACCCCACCCCCACCTCTTCGCTGGTAACCTTCAGTGTGTTCTCTATAGTTGAGGGTCCATATCTTGGTTTGTTTCTCTCTCCTTTCCCCACCACCCCCTCCCCCACTTTGCTCATTTGTTTTATTTCTTAAATTATACATGTGAAGGAAACCATATAGTATCTGCCTTTCTCTGACTGTTGTGAATGTTATTTCACTTAACATTATACTGTCTAGACACTAATCCCTTCTGTTAGTTTACAGTGTATATCAACATATTTTACAATACTGGGGCACTTGGATGGCTCAGTTGGATAAGTGTTTTAGCTGTTGATCTCAGCTCAGTTCTTGATCTCAGGGTTGTGAGTTCAAGCCCAGTGTGGAGCTTACTTATAAAAACAAGCATATTTTTATAAAAGTAAAATCTATCAGTTTAGGAAATTCAGGAAAGCATTTTCATCTGTACTTTTCCTATTGATAATATTTTACAGATAGAAACAAAATTGATGTCCTATGCAACAGTAGACAACATGTGTCTCATGTTAATTTTTTCTAAGATTTTTGATGGGCAATTTAATTTTGTTTAGATTGGTATCTAAGATGTTACCTCTGAGATGTAAATTTCTGCTTACCATTTAAAATTAATTACGTTAAAATTAATTACAAATTTTTTAGAATAAATATATTAATGTGGCAAAAATGCACAACAGCGAACAACTGACTTAAGTATTCCATGTGAAAATTATAGTTTGGACACATCGATGTTATGTTAGTGTATTGTTCTTCTGGAGTTGAAGCAGTTTGCTCTTTGCCAGGATAGGTAGGGTATAGAATGTTTTCCCTTTGCAGTGTTATTAGTTAACAGTGGTAGAATGTTTTTGACATTTCCAGGTGTTTTTATTTGTTAAATATATGCGATTAGTAGGCTTTCCCATAGGTTAATTAGATATTTTCTCACATCTGTTTTGACTTTGAAACTGATAACTGCACTTTGAAAACCCTTAGAGTGCTGTAATTAAGAAAGCTTGCAGAGCATATGAAATACATTTGGGGGGCACCTGGGTGGCTCAGTGAGTTAAGCCCCTGCCTTCAGTTCAAGTCATGATCTCAGGGTCCTGGGATCGAGCCCCACATCGGGCTCTTTGCTCAGTGGAGAGCCTGCTTCCCCCCTCCATCTGCCTGCCTCTCTGCCTACTTGTGATCTCTCTGTCAAATAAATAAATAAAATCTTTAAAAAAAGGAATACATTTGGATTAAAAAAAACTAGACAGTACAATAGAATTCCTTGTATAATAGAGAAACCTCAAACTGGTAAGAGGGAAGGAAAAAGATCTTACTAACTTGAGTAAACAGAAGGAAAAAACAATGCCTAGAAAATATATGAATGATAAAATTTTAACAACATGACTGATAACGATCTCTTGGTGTTTGTTGCCTTCAGTATTTATAGTTAGAGGAAAACAGTAATATCCCAGAGACTAAATACATTTTGCTGGGTTGGGGTGAAGATGGATTAAATTGCGAAGAGGCTTTTACATTGGATATAATGGATATAATATGAATATCAGAAAGAATTAACATTTGGAAGAATGTCAAGTGAATGTGGATCATAGCCTAGGGTTCTGACTGAAGTATTATGGGAAGTAAGGAGTTTGTGGGTAAAGATTTTTTTTTAAAAACAAAAACTAAATCATAAAAGTGGTTACTCACTTTGTTCCCAGTTTTAATTGACAAGATGAGAATGGTTCAGGATACAAATAAATTGTATGTCTCTTTTATACTGCATTTATGAAAAAGAAAAGAATTAGGATAACAATTTCCTCCTCAAGCTAAAAACACAGAAGGTCATGGGGCGCCTGGGTGGCT